TTTGGGGGCCTCGAGGTTTGCACTGGAGATGATGTTGAGCCCCTTCCAGCTCCTGACCATGGTCTTGGGTTCATGGGGAATTAAAAAACAAAACCCTGCTCCTTCCCTGGGCAGCAAGGAAGTCTTTGATGAGGGTTTCTGTTTGGGGCAGGAATGGTCAGCTCTGCCCAGACTCAAAGTACTCTCAAAGTAGCTTTTTAGTCTTGCCTTGCTCTCTGTCTCAACTGACTTCCAGGGACCTCCCTCTGGTTTTCCTTAGGCAAGTGGAGACCTTTGCTGTCCCCTGGAGCACGATGTCATCTCCCCAACATCAGCTCTTAGCAGACAAGCAGTAAGTAATGGTTCTTGCCAACAATATCAGCTCTGCCCTTTTCCTAGCTAAGAGACCCCCTCTGAACTGTGCCAAAGCAGGAACCAGTTGGGTGATGACAACCTGCATCTGCAGACAGCCCGGAGCTAGCACTCGAGACGTGCGTGAGCTGCTTGGTTGCTGAACTGCGCCTGCGTGCCTAAATATAGTTTGTTTTCGACCCTGCCGGTTGAGCGAGCAGGAACATCCAGTCAGTGTCCTTGCTTGATAATAACTCTGATTTTTCTCTTGCATCTTCTCTGGTGTTCAGGGTTTTGAATGTGACTGTCAAAGCCTCCAGCCTCTTCTGCCGCATTACTCGCCATATGGACAGTGCTACTTCAAGTCCCCAGCCTAAGCGGTCATCCTGGGTACCACATAAATTATGTGCAAGACAAAGGAGAGAACAAAAAAATAGTATCTCTTGCTAACTTTGTAGGATCGTTTGTCTTTAGCAGAACTTCCATGTCATCATTATCAAATAATGCAAAAACCTTAGAGTTTATTATAAACCAGTTGGGGCCAGTCAATGGGAACAAAGCAAAGTAGAATAGCATAATTTTTGCCTCAGGACAAGATACATATGTCCTAAGTTATATGTATATTTGAGCTATTTTTAAAGAATTCCATGTTTGTGATTCTTTGACATACTTCTGCTCCTGGCCCAGTCCGCAAGCACTTCACACCTGAGCTCTATTGAGGGGGTCATGCTGGAGATCAGCAGTTCAAGCTCCACCCAGGACCAGGTGGCTCTGACCCTCCAAGCATTTCTCAAGCTACATCTCCCAGGTTGCAGGTAGGATTCAGCCACAGCTGCTGCCAATCTGTTTATCCCCAAATACGCTGTGTTTTTAGCTGTTACTGCTGCCTTGCAATAGGAAACCGTTCATTAAACACCTGTGTCTAAAGTGGCCTTAAAGTCACATTGATTCAGACAGGATTAACTCATGTTTGTTCAGCTCCTGTTTACCTTGGTAAGCTCTATGAGCTTTGGAAGGTGACAGCCTTTGCCAAGTATTTTACTACCTGTCTGCAGTCAGATGCTTGCATTATATTTTTAATCTCTGCAAATGCCACAGGACTTTGGTGAAAATGCAAAGGTAGAAGTCTGCTCCTGTGCAAAGATTTACTTCCTGGTGGAACCCTCGCTGCTAGCTTTTTGCAGGTGCCTGTCCTGGTTTCCTTTCATACTCAGGCACTACTCAGTGCCTGAGAGTGCCAGTGAGAATATGGGAAATTCACTATTTCTCCTAGGCAAGAACAGAAACTGTTTAGTCTTGCTCATAATAGTAAAACAAATGTTTTCTCTTCCTCATGACTGTAGCTTTCTGCTTGCAACCAATGTCGGAGCATTGTTATCTACAAGAGTTGACCAAGAGATGTTGGAGGACCAAATTATTTGGACAAGGCTGCTGGAGTCATTCTGGCTGTCTCCACATGAGATGTGGTCACACGGTAACATAATTAAGTAGTCATATTAATAGTAAGACCCATAACGATGCCTGATGGGTCGCATACAGAAATAGGTGCTGTGTTGTACCCAGCTCCGGCCCGTCCTGCTTGTTTTGCCCTAGCATGACCAAGAGGATAAGAGGCCTTTATAAACCTGCCAAGAAGCTGAAGGGAGAAGGAATGTGATCACAGACCTAAGAAATCTCATGACTCGGAGATGACCGCAGAGAGGTGGAGGGCGAGACGGAGGCAGCCGGCAGCACGCAGCCAAGGCTCCCTGCCGCCTCGCGTGTTGCAGCCGGGCCGCTTTCGCTCTGCTGCCCTGAATAAGGGCCTTGTGTGCGCCTTGCCCGCAGCTTAAGGACGGCCTTGAGGATGTGCTGCTCCGGGGCCGACTCCATCCGGCTTTCGGGAACTCCTGCAGCCTGGCCGGGTGCCTGGGATGTCCCCACGCTGGGAGCAAGGACACCGGTCGGAGTTGTTCATGGCAGACCATTAACTGCCTTTGGTGGTCGATGTGGCTGTCTACATGCACAAACTCCACTGTTTTATTATCTGACAGGACCAAAATCTCCAAACTGAGCCCAACTTTATCCTCACCTGTTTTCGCGTGTAATGTTTCTCTTTTCCGTTTTGCCAAGAAGAAATTGAGGCCTCAAGCTTGGCTGAAATCAAAGAGGCTGCCAGAGGTGCGCAGCTGGGAGGAAAGCCTTGATTTGCCTCGTCCCTTCCACCCCACTCAGCTGCAGTCACTGCAGAGCCTGGCGTCACCTGGCTTTTCCGCTTGTGATACTAGTGTGAGTGTGGTTCTGTTTGTTTTTATTTATACTTGGATGTGACTTAATAAGATCCAGGGAGTCTTTATGCATGCTTGTAAGAGGAAGAAGTGATGGGGAAATTGCTGTGGTCTGGTAGATTTAATTTTCTTTCTCGAAGCAGAGTCCACGCTCTCTGGAAGCTGGTGATTTCGGCAAAATTCAACAAACTGCTTTGCAATGGGAAAAGGGAAATCTTCCTCTACTGATTCACATGCTGCTCTCTGGGGTGCATTTCCTGGGAAAAAATGCACCACTTGCGATTTATTCTGCGGATCTACATGCAGGAAGCTTCCCAGGGGATGGTTTTCCAGCTAAAGTGTCGCTTTCGGTGGGGTGCTGGCACTTGCCAGCGCTTCACTGACACTTTGGTTGAGTGGGAGGCCGCCTCTGCCCCCTTTTATTCAACTTCCCCCCTTATTCCACGGCTTGCAACCAGTCACAAGATGTTGGCTGCTGCCCACCAGCCCCTTAAACACTCGCCTGGTGCAAATGCAGGCGCTGGGGCTCTTGGCATATTTGCCCCAAGAGGTCCCCGAACAGGGTCCCCTTGTGATGTTAATTAGTATCTATTGACCTGCTCTGCTGTTCGGGTGCAGTGAGGCTCTCAAATGCGCTTATATAAGGAGCAGCTCGACCCGCGTGTCTCGCTCCTGCCAATAACCTAATTGCTTGGGGGGGGTCGTGTCTCTGCCTGCAGGGCAGTGGAGAATCAATCTGTGGCGTCCAGCCCCGCTCCAGCCTCCAGCTTGCAGTGAGAGCTGCGGCTATTGCGATTTTTCAGCGCCGAATTTGCCCGCATCTAGATCCGAAGCCCCTTCCTGGCTCTGCTCACAGAGGTTAGTCCAGTCTTTGCTTGGAGCGGGGTACCAGGGCGGGCGATGCCTGGCCCCGTGTGGCCGAGCTGCAGGGAGCCTTGGTGCCCGGCGTTGACGAGGGCCCCATTGCGGTGGCCTCGTCTTGCTCTGCCTGCCTGAGCGCTGCTTATCTCCTTCCTCCCCTGACTCTTCCTTTGGGTGCCCTTCGGGGAGGAGTTAAAAAATGGGTGAACACCGATATTTGCTCTGATAAGGGTGCAAAACGGCTGCTTCTTTCGCCCACAAGTTGCAGGGGAGGGGACGCGGGGAGCGATTTACAGGCACGGCGGGTGCCTGAGCTCGACGGGA